TGGATATAATGACCAACTCTTTAGACAAAAATGGGAAGAATGACAAATTATCTTAAATCAGTCTTAACATAAAAGACTAAATCAAAACTAGGTTCTACTTTGTAAAAAGTCTAGACAAAGACTATGGGTTGACCCACATCTTTTTCTCCAAACGGATTAAAGAAGTCATACAATAGTCTCTTGACAAAGACATAAGGGGTCGGTTTTTAGATATGCTTGGATGGAAAATTGACCAGCGGCTCAAACAATTGTCCTTACGACAGAGTTGATACAAAAACAACTAATGGCTTTGGAAAGTCTTTTGACAAAAGGCTGCCAACGGCTTAACAAATCATAAGAGCATCCGCAACGGTGAGACTCATAAGAGTCCTTTAGTAAAAGGGTATTTCAGATTTTGTAAGGATATTTCTGATTTAAAAATAAAAATAAAAATAAAAATAAAGATGACCATTCGCGGGCTGCCACGTGTCATGGGGACCCGCAAATAGTGTAAGGATTCGTTAAGAAATAGTCATTATTTATAGATTCTAAGGATCGAATCCTTTGTGGAATCTACCGATTATTTAATTATTTGTTTCCTAAGGACTCGGGACTCCCGTTGCGTATGCTCTAACACACAAAGATCCTAAACAAGGATTATGAATGGAACAGAGATTCTTTACTCTAGACAAAGACAATATGGGTCTGCCCGTTTTAAGATATGTTGGATACAAACATTGACTAGCGGCTTAGGAAAAAAAGAAGTCATTAGATGGATAAAAACGCCTAGTGGCTGAGAGAATACTTTGTTGGATATAAAGGAGTTTGACAAACATCTTTAAGAAGTCACAAGACAAACTTCATGAACCAAACATGCTTAAAAGTAGACAACACACGGCTTAGAAATGTCCAACAGCTAAGAAAAGTTTTTTGAGAAAGACGTGAATCCAGTTTAGACTTGTTGGATGGCAACACAATGTACATTTGCTGTATAAAATGATACCCAAACGGCTTAAAGAAACCAACTTCTTAAAGTATGTTGGATGTATAGACTCTCTAAACAAATACAATGATTATGAATCAAACACAGATTCGTATTTAAAACCGCAAGGCTTAGAAGTCTCTTGAGAAAGTCTATGCCATGGACTTGTTGGATGGTAGAAAACAAGTAAAGACTTACCTTTATTGATAAATGACCAACGGCTTTAAAATTTCATAAGGCGAAGCTTCTTGACTATATGAATAGACAACAGGTTCTTATGTAACCACATGGCTTGGTTTTGGTATAATAGCCAATAGTTTTACAATTTCTCTAAGACAAAGACTGTAGATGAAAAACAAACCCACGGCTCAAATGAAATTAGTCTCTCATGACTGAGTCTGAAACTATCGATGGGGAACTGATTCTTTACTCTGCCGGACAATTTCAAATAGAAAGTCTCAGCACACAGATTATGAACCATGAGGTTCAAAGAATTGTTTCTGCTTTGTTGGGATAAAGATCCCACATTGGAAATATCCTTGGGACATGAGTAATATATAAGGGACTTGAGCCAATCCACTAATTGCCAATTGGTTTTAAGTAGGAAGCCCAAGAAACTTATCATGGTATCAGAGCCGGCCCACACCCTGACCCATTAATCCGGCCCGGAAAGTGGCCGATCAACAAGGCTCAGTTTGGGCCAATGCACTAATTGCCAATTGGTTTTAAGTAGGAAGCTCTTGTCTCAAAGTATACAAAGAGTATTAAGTTGGATGGAAATAGTGACCAACTCATACTCTGGCCCGATCAACCCATTAGCTGATGGCTCAGAGAAGGCTCAGTTCTATCGAGATTGTTAAAAAGAAAAAAAACATTGTCTCGATAGGGGTATGATGGATTCTGCGAGATTAATGGTTAGACCCACCATTATCTCGAGAGAGGGTGTTGGGATAAAGATCCCACATTGGAAATATGAATGGGACATGAGTAATATATAAGAGACTTGGGCCAATCCACTAATTGCCAATTGGTTTTAAGTAGGAAGCCCAAGAAACTTATCATCCTTTGATCTCACAAGGCTTTTAAAGTATACAAAGAGTATTAAGTTGGATGGAAATAGTGACCAACTCATACTCTGAAATCAGTCTTAAACAGAGACTTCCAGTGGCTTAAATAATCATAAAGCAAAGAGATTATGAATCTAAAAGAGATTCTAACTTAACGACCTAAATAAGACTTGTAGGATGGGGAAAACGACCAATAGGTTAAAGATGTCCTTAGAAAAAGAATCTTGAAAATTCCTCAGATGGGAAAAACACAAGCAACGGCTTAACACTTGTTTGATGGGGAAAAACACAATCAGGTTAGAGAAACAGCCCACAGCTTTAGAAAAGTTACTGGGCAAAGATAATGGCTTGGTTTACGTTGGATGGTAAAAAACAGACGGACCAACGGCTTAACACAAAGTATGAAAAAGATCTCAAGACAAAGACCATGTCTGAATCAGTTTTGAGACATAGCTGATACGAAAACAACTCAAGGTTTGAAATGTCACAAAGCGACAAAGACTAAACGGCTTAAAGATGTCTTAAGACAAAGATACTTAACAAGGATCAAGAGATTCTTACTTAACAGCTTAAATAAGGCTAGTTAGATGGGGACAAAAAGCAACCAACGACTTAAAGATGTCTTAAGACTGTCTCTGAAAACTCCTTAGATGGATAAAAATGACTAATGGCTTATATTAGACTTGTTGGATGGGAAAAATAACAACCATGAGCTTAAGATAACTAGCGCATAAGAAAGACGTACGGACAGCTTAAGTCCTTGTTGGAAAGTACAAATAGCATACAGAAGTAGCTAGACCAACATCTTAAAAGAGTCTTCAGACAGACAATATAGGTTGGTTTGTAGACATGATGGATGAAAACAATGGTTAGCTGAACTTGTTGGATGAAAAAAAGACAATCAGTTTGAAAAAGTCCCAAGACAAACACTAAGGACCAAAAGGCTTAAAGACATGTTTATGTTTGATAACCACAAGACCTAAAAGTAGACAAAGACAGATTTATAGACCAATTATCTGACATCAGTCTTACTTAAATACCTTAAATAATACTTGTATGATGGGAAAAGAAAGAACCACGGGCTTAAAAGATGTTTAAGACAAACTCTGAAAAGTCCTTAGATGAAAAAAGGCCTAATGGCTTAAATTAGACTTGTTGGATGAAATGAAAAATGTGCAATGGCTTAAAGATGTCTTAAGATAGATACTCTGAACAGAGAAATATGTATTTGCCATAACCACAAGACTTAAAAAGGTATCGAAAGACCATTCCAGCTAGGTAGATATATACTCTGTACTGAGAAATATGTATTGTTCCCTCTTCGAAATGTAAATAAACTTGTCATTGTTTTCCTTGAGATCGTAACTGATGAAATAGAACGGCTTAAGGCAACTGAACCGCCGGTACTAAGTGTACCCCTGAACCTGAATCCGCGATAAGTTCCAACTAAATCTATCCAAGAAGGAACAACAAAGAAAACTTCTGACCATTCTTGTTTACTGGCATCTTCTAGAATCAACATGTGAACGCGCTGTTAATGGTAGGCCAACTCCCTATAGCTATCTTTCGAGTGTAGTTCACTAAGCAATGAATATCCTCAGGCAACTCAATGACATTAAACTCTTCAGAGATCAGATCAAAGCTTATCAATGTATCCCATTTATGCTTAAATATTCAAGAGGAGGATCGGAGGAGAAAGATGAGGATGCTTAAATATTCAATCATTCTCCATTTTTGTTAACCTCTTTCTATAGTGTAAACTTGATTCTCCTCTGACACAACTTGTGATCCACTTATGATGACCTCGTCATACCGTCATGCAAAACACTTTATATAGATCATTCACTGGATCACCGAGTGAACGAGCATCGACAATGTAGACGGTTGGAATGTTACAAAAATATCTTATAAAACTAGAGTCACATGTCATTAATATATATATATATATATATATATATTGGTAAATCATTAATATATATAATTCTATAAATGCTACGTAAGAAGATTTTAGCTTCAAAAATTATTTAGCTACTTTCCTAATTATCTTTTTATAATTTTTGAACTACGCAAAAATTCAGTCAAAAACAAAATTTGCACTAGTTCACTTCTTATATACGTCCAGTAAATTCTTTTCATGCAACCTCTTGCTCAATGTAAGAGTAAGACTGTAAGACCATAACTTGCTAAGTGTCTAGGTTGCATGGAATCGGAAACGGATACGTGGATACAAAACTTTTCAAAAACGTAATTTTAAAAGAAAATAGAAATCGAAACGTTTTAGAAACGTCTATAATATATATATATATATATATATATATATATATATATATATATATATAATTAACATATGAGTTTAAATTGTTTTTTCGATTTATCTTAGAGAGAAAATCAAGTAATATGGATGATATTGTTCTTTGTACATTTTATAAAAATTCTAATCAATAATTAAAAAACTAACAGATGTTATCATTCGATAAAATTATAAAACTATAGAGTTAATTTCATTCCAGATCAAATTATTATTACCAAAATGATAATAAATATCAAAAGTTAATATCAAAGTATAAATTAATAAACACGTAATCATTAACATCAAGTGACAAATAGTTATTCTCGTGTTTTCAATTATAATTGTGAGTTTCCAAATCAGAAACGCAAGTTTCTATCGTGGTTTCAAAATAAAATTTTCAAAAAACACGAGTTTCTTCAAGTTTTTAAAAGATTCCGATTTCGAAACGTTTCCGAAACAAGAAACGGATCTTGAGTGGAGTTTCCATGCAACTTAGCTAAGTGTTATACATAAATCCAATTGCCAATAAAGAGAAAGAGGGAGTTCCTTTGTCGTTATTACCATATGAAGTGGATAATTACATTAAGAGAATGAGAGGTCATAAAATGGAAGTAGCAGCAGAATAATTATGATGTTAGGTTAAAAGCTGCCAACTTTGATGAGTTGTACATCTTAGCCTCCTTCACACGGCAGTCGATATTCTGCAACATTCGAAAAATCAAAACAACACATGTATCATGGCAATAAGACAAAAATTAAAAAAAAGAGTTAATTAGCTGTTTTTTTCCTTCATGATATTTACGTATATGCAAAATATTTCGTGAACTATGTATTTATGTTGTAGTTTAGTCGAATTCATTAACTTTTATTTGTTTTTAGAGTCACGCTGTGTATAATGAACTTTGAAGATATTTTTTGGATAAAAAGCTTTTCAAGGATTTCCATATTCCTTAGAGAAACAAAAAACGAGATGCAGTACAAAACAAAACAAAAACAAGTTATGGAGACGTACTTGTCACAATTGGTGCTGAAACTAAATGGGTAGGGAACTGAAACACCACAAATGGTAGGGAGTGTGCCCACAAGCTCGATTTGGATGAATCCTTCGTTTTCCTTAGCCACTGCTTTAAGGCACTTACATACTTGTTGCCGGTCCGGTGTGGTCGGAGCCATTTGATTCAATGATTTGACTTCCGCGCAGCAGTAGTCTGATGGCACTGAATAACTGTTGGTTAAGTAGCCCATGCACTGAGCCAATGTGGATGTCACTATCCCACACGTTATGTGTGACTCTGTTAGAGCTGCCATATAGACCGTAAGGAGGAGAAGGCATGTGATGATCTTTGAAGAAAACGCCATTTTTGTTTTAACAATCGTTTTTGCTTTGCTAATGTCGTCGGTGCGGTTTTTATAATTGGGAAAGCTCATGAATGGCATGCGTACCCGTTAATTATGGTTACTTTCTGATGCATGCAAATTCAATGTATAACAGGGATTACTAGTAAACATTGAAAATTCAAGTATTCCAATGTTAATATACATTGCTTATAATAATAATAATAATAATAATAATAATAATAATAATAATAATAATAATAATAATAATAATAATAATAATAATAATAATAATAATAATAATAATAATAATAATAATAATAATAATAATAATAATAATAATAATAATAATAATAATAATAATAATAATAATAATAATAATAATAATAATAATAATAATAATAATAATAATAATAATAATAATAATAATAATAATAATAATAATAATAATAATAATAATAATAATAATAATAATAATAATAATAATAATAATAATAATAATAATAATAATAATAATAATAATAATAATAATAATAATAATAATAATAATAAGCGTTGTTTTTCTGATCTTCGGTTAGTTGAGTTTCAAGAAGATCTGAAGATGTCATATATATCAGAAATCTAGTTTTAACTCGGAACTAAATAGATTTGTCTATGTCTACCTGGTGTGTTAAAAAAAAGGGGTCTATGTCTACCTGGTTGTACATTATCATAAAACAAGGGAAATAAACCATAGGACTATTCCAAAAGACTTAGATTAAAACAAGTTTTCAGAAATAAAGAATTGTTCCGCAAAGGTAAAGTATTTTGACATGTCAAACATGGTGGACAAGCACACGTTATGAGGCCACTAGTACGAGTCCAGTGGAGTAATAAGATCTTGGACATGTGGATCGAAGTTGATGTTCTAGTGACAGTTGAAGGATATAAATAAAAGGATCAAAAATGAAAATGGTGGAAATGCATGGTCCAAGTAATGGAAAAAAACATCAAATAACGTAAAGAGTTGGAAACGTCAAAGGAAATGCCAAAAGGAGAGAAGATTGAAAACAGGTAGACGGGAAAAGATATTTGAATGTCTATCGTTAAGCAATTTGTATTAATTATCCTAAACTAATCGACATGATAAATTCCTATCTTCAATATTACGTAACCACTGTATGCTTGCTAAATCAATCCTTGTGTATAGTATCTTAAAATTCTCACAACTTGTTCTTTTACACAGAAGCCAACGAAAAGAAGTCCGTACAGAGGAAAGAGGGAGAAATGCAAGGGACAAGTTATGATCACAGTGTAAGGATCATAATTAAGGATTGATCTTGTGAAGATCAGATGTTCCTCGTACATATAGAGACGCTTTTTCTTGCAAACTTAACAAAAAGAAGAAGAAGATATATTACAGTGAATGAATCCGAATCTTCTTTCAGAGCAGCTATGTCTATTTGTTTGAGTTTTTTTTTCTTATAGATTATTATGAATAAGAAATCGAAGTATGATAATTGTAAACAACACACAACAGTAACATACACTTATACTAGTGACATCTTAATTATTCTTAAATCCATACTCTCAACGATTACATAAAAAAAACCAACGATATTATAAAATTGGTTTTGAACATCACACAACAGTAAAACAACACACAAAATGATACACTTACTAAAAAAAACACAAAACAGTAAAATGATACACTTATACTAGTGACATCTTAATTATTCTTTAATCAATACTATCAACGATTACATATAAACCCCTTCAAAGTAGATATCTTCTCAAGTTCACCTTACTCTGCAACCACAACCAAACACACCATTATATGGTTAGCAACACTCTAAATAAAATTAGTACAACCCTCAAGTAAAATGATAGAAATAAAATGTGAAAGTAGATTAATTACTTGTTACAGTTGGTTCTTGCGCTGATGGGGTAAGCGATCCTAACACGGCAAGCACCAGGAAGATGAGCAGCACGTCTCGCGTTGAGTCTGGAACCCAAGGCTCTAGCTGCTCCTTGGATGCAGCGACAAGCTTGCTGGCGGTCACGGGTGGTACGAGCCATGCCGTTGAGCCTCCTAACGCCAGAGCAACACCCTCGAGGAATGAAACCACCTCGGGTCAGGTAGTTAATGCATTGGCCTAAGTTGCTGGCCACTGCGCCGCAAGAGATGGCTGCCTCGGACGCCATTGGAGCAGACACTAGCATGCACACAATCACCAATGTCGACAGTTTTAAGAGCCCCTCCATTATAGTCTTTAACTTTTTACTTCTCTTTTGGTTAGGTAATGAGTTTGGATGATGAAGATAGCTGATGGAGTTTTTGCTTTATATAGGCAGAGCTAAGAGTGAAAATGCATGAAAGAAGAGGGTGTGAGGTTAGTTGGTGGTTGGTTTCATTTATTGCATTGCTTCTTGTTCATGTTTTCTCTTCTCTCTTCCTTGTTTTAATATAATTTAAAAAATATTCTACACCAGTTACTACGTACTGATCTCCTCTTTTGTTCTTTTTTGTTTGTCAGATCAGATCTATAGTTCTATAGACTAGATCAAAAAGTAAAAGTGCATTCTTGTATTCACGTTAAAGACCAATCATTGCTCTACATATGTCCAACTTAGCAACTTGTCAACGTTTGGTGTGGCGTATTAACATTGAACCCATGAAGGTTAAATCCTAAATAAAGAACTTGAAACCAATTCCAAGCAACTAAACCCAGCAGCAACGTACATATACTTTTCACTATTGTCTCTCACTCAACCTTGCCAAAGGACTTTCCACAACCGTCTCTCTTACTACGTACACGCACACTTTTTTTACAAGAACTAGGTTCAAAAATAGGAAGATATAACATTTGAACTGAAGAAGACGGGAAGATCATTTACCTGGCCAGCTTATCTCGTAAAGATTGCAAGACATAAATAGAGAACATGAAAGAGAATGTGGTAGCTGATCAGGTCAAGCACATAAGAATACATGTACGAGCTTATTTTACCTTGGCCTAATTATGTAATCAGCAAGAACAAAAGAAAATGAATTACGTGAGCCAAAGAGGGCATAAAACCCTGAGGAGACATCAATCTCTGACTGCTATTTCCTGCATCACAATAACGTGCCTCAGCCACTTATCAGTAACTTGATGTTTCTTGTGCTCCAAGAAAACAGGAGAAGATGGCTCAAAGAGGTCAACAAAAGTAGCGTACCATGTGTATCTAACAAGGACATGTTTTGCTAAGATTGCATTCTAGAAAGTAACATAACACACTAATGTGTAAAAAATGAGGCTTCCTAATAATGTAAAGCTCTCAGCTGGTTTAGTCCTAAACAAAATGAGCTTCATAAAGAACACCATAGCGAACAAGTATTTATTTACAGCTTTTCTAACCATTTTCATGGGAATCTTTCCACACTGCAAATGAAACACAATATAGCTTCTACTCAAGAAGACAGCACGAATTATTTTTTGGAAATTATTGTCATCGAAATATGACTACGATATCATGCCGGTGATGTTACAGGAAAAATCATAAGCATCAGTATAAAGTTTTTCAAGAACTCTCAAAATTAACGCAATTGCCAACGAGTGGTGAAACTCACGGCAGAGTGAATGGATGTGGATTCACTAATGTAAGAGATTGGAGCGTTACAAATATCTTATAAACTAATTAAGGTCCCATGTCATTAATACTAATGTATATAGATGTAAGGATAGATTGTAGTTACATAGCCTAAATAATACAGAAGATTTTGGTTTCGGAAAATATTTTGTACTTTCCTAATTATCTTTTTATAATTTTTGAACTAGTTCACTCTTATATATGTGGTCGAGTAAAATATCATTTTTGATGCTACCTCTTGACCAATGTAAGAATAAGACCGTAAGTGACTAAGTGTTATCCCTGGCAGTACGGTACATACATCAAATTAAGTGCCGAAGAGACAGGGAGTTCCTTTGTCGTTTATTACCATATGAAGTGGATGATTAAATAACAAGAGAATGAGAGGTCATAAAATGGATATAGCAGAAGAATAGTTATGATGTTAGGTTAAAAGCTGGCAACTTTGATTAGTCGTACATCTCTTGCCTCCTTCACACGGCAGTCGATATACTGCAACATTCAAACAAACCAAAACAAATATGTATCATGACAGTTAGACAAAAACCCACTAAAGACAAAAAGAAAATTAAGTGATAAGCTGTTGCTTCAGCACTGAATGCAAGATATTTTGTGAACTATGTAACTATGTTGTAATTTAGTCGAATTCAATATGTGTTTTTGGAGTCACGACTCACTTGTATAATTAATGAACTTTCAAGATACTCCCTCTGTTTTATTATAAGTGTCACTCTAGAGCTGTGCACACGGATTAAGGAAACAATTAATTTTACATATTTCCTATATAAAAACACAGTTACCTATACACCTAACCATATTTTAATCAATAGAAAAATTAGTTACATAATAAAATCAATAAATTTTGCATTGAAAACTGAAAACGACACTTATTTTGTAACGCCAAAAATTCTCTACAACGACACTTAATATGAAACGGAGGGAGTATTTAATTAGCAAGAAAAAACAACTTTCAAGATATTTTTAAGACAAAAAGGTCGTAAGGGTTTTTCCGTATTCCAAAAAGAAACAAAAATGTAATACAATCCAAGAAAAAAACAAGTTATGGAGAGGTACTCGTCACAATTGCTGCTGAGACTAGTTGGGTAGGGAGCTGAAACACCACAACTGGTAGGGAGTGTGCCCACAAGCTCGATACTGATGACTGATCCAGCCACTGATTTAAGGCACTCACATACTTGTAGGAGGTCCCGTATGGACTGAGACATTTGGTTCAGAGATTTGACTCCGACGCAGCAGTCTGGTAGCAGTATACTACTGTTGGTCAAGTAGCTTAGGCACGGATCCAATGTGGTTTGACTGCCTTACACGTTAAGTGTGACTTTATTGAAGCTGCCATGTCGACAGTAAGGAGGAGAAGGCATGTGATGATGATCTTTGAAGCAAACGCCATTTTTGTTTTAATTGTTTTTGTAATGTCGTCGGTGCGGTTTTTATAATTGGTAAAGCTCATGAATGGCACGCGTACCCGTTAATTGTGCTTAGTTTCTCATGGATGCAAATTTAATGAATAAAAGAAATTACTATTAAACATTTAAAATTCACATATTCCAGTGTTAATACATTGCTTTCCTGATCTTCGGCTCATTGTGTTTCAACTTTCAAGAAGACGTTACGTCAGAAATTTGGTTTTAACCCGGATCTAAATAGATATTTCCACTTGGTTTGACTAAAAATAGATATATTTCAACAAATTAGAGTTTATCAGTTTTACATTATCATTAAACAAGGGGAGGAAACCATAGACCTATTCCAAAACACTTACATTAAAGGAGTTTTCAAACTAAATACAATTTCCGCAAGATAAAATCATTTAGTTACGAATGTATAGGACAAGCAGACATTATGATTTATGAGGCCACTCATACGAGTCCATTCCAATGGAGTAATAAGATCTTGGACATGTGGCTCGAAGATGATGATCAAGTGACAGTTCAAGAATGTAAACAAAATGAGAAAAAAAATGAAAATGGTCCAAGTAAGAGTTGGAGACATCATAGAAAAAAACAGATAGACGGGAAAAGAGATTTGAATGTCTATCGTTTGGCAATATGTATTAGTTGTCTTAAATCGGCCGACATGATAGGAGCCCTATTCAAAATATAAAAAATACATATTAATTTATAACTTTTATAAATTTTATAAATCATTTATTTAAAGAATCATAATTTTCTAATAAAATTATATATAAATAGCTACTGAATAATAAATAACAATTAAAATATCAATCGAAACAAAAATATTTATATCTTTAAAATTGTAATAGTAAAACTAAAAATTAACATTTTTTATAACAAATTTTCTTTCCTTTAACTTCACCATTACTTTTTGTTTTTGTTGGGTATTTTTTGTTTGGACCTGCGGGTCTCGGTTCGGGTCCGAGTCCTATTCGAGACCCGATTGGATATCCGAAATATGCACAAATTATTGTATATATTAGATATATTTAGGTAATTGGGTATTTCTTTGATAATTTGGGTATTTTTTAAAGTTTGAGATTTGGATTTTCGGGTATAATATTAGATTTTAGGTAAATTTTTATATTTTCAAAAAAATATAATTCGGGTATCAGGATAAAATTTCGGGTATTTTTAAATTTTTGGGCCTGATTTTGGATAAACTTTCGAATATTTTTACGGGTTTTCGGGTATTTTTAGAGTTTTTAGTATTTTTTGGATTTTTGGATCTAGTTTGGACCTTTCGGATCCTTTTCAGGTACTAAATACCCGAATCGACTCGACAATATACCCAAACCAATGGATTCGATAAGATCCCATCCGAAACCGACCCGAATAATTATAGATACCTATATTAATCCAAATTTCTAGGATCCAAAAGACCTGGACCCGACAAGACCCGATCCAAACCCGACTCAAAGATCCGAATACTCAAGATTAAACAATATATTACATGCGCTTTTGAAAGCGTGGGTAAGGTGAAAATCTAGTATAACTTATGATTACTAAACTAATCCTGATGTCGTATATTCACACTTTCACAAGTCACAACTTGTTCCTTTACACACTGCAACGAAAATGAAAGAGTGCGATAGAAAGAGTGATAAATGCAAGGGAACCAGTTATGATAAAGAAAATACACAAGGATTGCTCTTTTGAAGATCAGCTGTTTCTCCTTGTGGGCTCGTATACATAGAGAGACGATATTTCCCGCGAACTCAAAAGATAGAGGATACTATCAAGTGAATGAATCTGAACTTTTTTAATACATACCATATATATAAAAGAAAAAATGAAGAATGATCATTTTTCTAAAGCATACTATTCAAGATCTATCTAAAGACGAGTAAGCTTAAAAAAAACTACGATATATATAATATATCTTATTTTGTAACATCTTAACTTTTATTATTTGAAATGATATTTAGATTTTTAGCAAAAAAAAAAAGATCTATCTTAAGATCTGTGGGACTTAAAATAGTCACAGAATTGAGGTTAAATGATCAAATATAGATTAACAGTTTAGAAATACTAATCCTAAATTTTTTGGTAGTCAAACGGAATTTATATGTCTAAAACTGGTTATGATATTATTCTAACCAGTGAGCCATCTTAATACTGTATGAATTGTTAGAGCACCCACATTGATGAAACCCCCCTTGGGGTTCACACCGATAAAAAAATATTTTTTTTTTTATTTTCGTTTACTTTTTTAAAAAAAAAAAAATTAATTTTGGACCAATCATATGTTGACACGTGGTGAACCCGGGGTCATCGGGGTTCACCGCGGTGAACTTTTGAGAGAGGAATTCATAGAAATCTGATTTTAATATTATTATTTTTTCTCGGTTCGCGTGTGAACTCCCCCCATCAACCCTTGATGGAGGTGCTCTTAGTTTTAGTTTTTTAACATCTACTTAACAGAGTTTAGTCAGTCAGTTTGATTATAGATTGATACAATACATATCAAGCAATGCCTAGTGTCGGTGTTTGTTTATTTACACCGCACGGAAGAAGTACTAAAACCAAGAACGTGGCAACAAAATGGAGACAATACATATATATCGTAATTCCATAATATCATTAGAGGAATACATAACACAGACGACCAATAAAATGAACCGCCGCTTATAAAGAAAGACATGAAATGAAACACACAAATTCTAAAAGCAACACTCAACAGTAAAATGATACACTTATACTAGTGGACACATTTTAATTATTCTTTAATACTCTCTCAACGATAACATAAAAAAAAAACTTTCAACGACGTCGATCCTCACATGCTCACCTGACTCTGCAACCACAACCAAACACACCATTATATGGTTAGCAACACTCTAAATAAAATTAGTACAACCCTCAAGTAAAATGATAGAAATAAAATGTGAGAGTAGATTAATTACTTGTTACAGTTGGTTCTTGCGCTGATGGGGTAACCGATCCTAACACGGCAAGCACCAGGAAGATGAGCAGCACGTCCCGCGTTGAGTCTCGAACCTAAGGCTCTAGCTGCTCCTTGGATGCAGCGACAAGCTTGTTGGCGGTCACGGGTGGTACGAGCCATGCTGTTGAGCCTCCTAACGCCAGAACAGCACCCTCTAGGAATAAAACCACCTCGGGTCAGGTAGTTAATGCATTGGCCTAAGTTGCTGGCCACTGCGCCGCAAGAGATGGCTGCCTCGGACGCCATTGGAGCGGACACTAACATGCACACAATCACCAACGTCGACAGTTTTAAGAGCCCCTCCATTATAATCTTAATGTTTTTACTTCTCTTTTGGTTAAGTAAGTAATGAGTTTGGATGATGAAGATAGCTTAATGGAGTTTGTGTTTATATAGAGAGAGCCAAGAGTGCAAATGCATAAAAGTGAGAGAAGAGGGTGTGAGGTTAGTTGGTGGTTGGTTTCATTCATTGCATTGCTTCTTGTTCATGTTTTCTCTTCTTTCATCTTTGTTTTTATATAGTTTAATAAAAAGTCTACGCCAATTACTACGTACTGTCTTTAAACCAAAAAAAAATTACTACGTACTGTCTCCTTTTTCTTTTTTTGTTTGTCAGATCAGATCTATAGCTCTATAGACTAGATCAAAAAGTGAAAGTTCATTCTTGTATTCAGGTTAAAGACCAATCATTGCATATGTCCAACTTAGCAACTTGTCAACGTTTGGTGTGGCGTATTAAAATTGAACCCATCAAGGTTAAATCCTAACTAAAGAACTTAAAAACCAAATCCCAAGCAACTAAACACAGCAGCAACATACATACATATACTTTTCAGTATTGAGTCTCACTCAACCTTTCCAAATTCTCCAACATTCAAGCTGCTTTCCACAACCGTTTCTCTTACAAACCTACATGCACATTTTTTTACAAGAACTAGGTTCAAATATCATATTTGAATTGGAGAGGACAGGAAGGTCATTTACCTTGCCAGCTTATCTCGTGAGGATTGTCGGACGTAAAAGTATGAAAGAGAATGAGAGCTGATCACGAAGTCAAGAATATAAGAATACATGTATGTAATCAGCATCAGCAAAACAAATATGAATTACATGAGCCAAAGAGTGCATAAAACCTTGAGGAGACATCAATCTCTGACTGCTCGTTCCTGCATCACAATAACGTGCCTAGCCACTTACCAGTAACTTGATGTATCTTGTGCCCCAAGTAAACATAAGAAAGGGCTCAAAGAGCTAAACAAAAGTAGCGCATACCATGTGTATCTAAAGAACATGTTTGGCTCCAGAACAGTTTGCGGATCTCCAGGTGTATATAAATAAACATATCGTATCGGTTCATAATAAAAATAAACATAAATCATTCGGGTTATATCGTATCGGTTCAGATATACCCGAAGTAAAATCTAAAAAATACTTTAACAAAAAATATACTCAGAAACGTCCACATTAGCAAGCAAAACATAATACAAATATTATTTATATAGAATTATGTATTTAAGGTATTTATTAAAATTTTAAATACTTACTTTTAGATATACATATCAAATAAATATGAAATTTAATATTTTAAGTAATATTTATGTTTCAAATATTTAATATTGCCTACTAATTTGGACCTTTGGATTGATTTTTCAGATATTTTTCTAAGTTTTCCGGCTCCTCGGGTTTTTTTGAGTTCCATGTTCGGATTTGGTTAATAACATTTCGAGTTCGAACATATTTTATAACACCCACAAAATACATTCATGTATTTTTTACATTTCGGACCGGTTATGAATCAGATTTTTCGGTTTGAATACATTTCAGATTTTGGATTACGTATTTTATGATCAAGCCTTAACCTAAATGAGGGGAAGGGGAATAATCCCTCTCTCCCTCTCCTCCTGATTGTTTTACTTCAATCGTTTTCTTTTTCTTTCCCAGTTAGCACTAAGTAAATTTTTAAAAGGAGTCAAACTTTACTCTTTTTAAGCAGATTCGGCTTATTGGTCACTGAGTGAAGTATCCTAGATTAGAAAAGTTTTCTTGGATGATCTAAGGGAGATCCTCAGTGGTTCAAAATAGGAGAAGTTACAGGCGGTGGAGTTGAAATGTTTTTGTATGCATATTGTCGTGCTACCCCGTTGCTTCAATTATCTTCATATGCTTACACGAGGTCAATTCCAATGAAACCCTAAAATACTAAATCCGATATAAATTTTATCTCTAATGAAATACAAAAAATGACATCATCTCACCAAATTTGGTATAAAATGAATAGTGTTATACCAATTTAGTGTAACACCATTTATCCTACCAAATATTTAATATAAATATTTTATTATATTTTATTTAATAATATAGTTCACTTATTATTATTAATTAGTTAAATTTTATGACTACACATAAATATATTTATTATTTATATTTAATAATATAGTTCACTTATTATTATTAATTCTTTGTTTTAATTATTTTTAATTTTTAGTGCTAATATTTAATATAACATTATTAATATTTTATCCATTTATACTCAATTTATATTAGTTCGTTTTTAGGGAAATATTTGTTTTAATTCTTTTTATTTTTTTGTCTGAAAAACAAAAATTTAAAAGTGAACTAATTGCAAATTGCCACGTATCAATAAGATCCGCAGAGCAATTTAAAAACACTCCAAAATCGATCTTTATTTATTCTTTTTGTGACTGATTCTTATCACTTTTGTGGGATCCACATCATTAGAAACTCTCTTAGCATCCGTGATAATGGTGATCTAAGAATGATTTAAGAATTAAATTAAAAATATAAAAGCTAGACGAAAGGAGCATGACAAATGTAAAAGAAACTCTTAAATATTTAGTTGAGACTCTTCTGAGAGATTGCCTTACCATTTTCTCCATTAGCTTATACTTTACTCAATTGTTTTAATATGTAACTGATAAGAGCTACTCTAATTTATGACTAGTGCAGAATTGCAGATGCCCTTACGCCTATTACCTTGGTCGGTGACGCTTCTTAAAACACCTTTTCTGAATATTATGTCGCTAAGTCAAATCAGTAGAGTGACTAATAAAAGACTACAATAACACTGATCTGAGTGTAACAAACTTTGATTAAAAAAGAAAGTAAGAAATCTGTGTGAAAACATTAAATCAAATTTGTAAAAATCTCGATAATTTGATGTGGAGATAGTATGCTTCCAAATAAAAAATCAGGAGAAAACTTTTTAAATTGCACCCAAAATGGAGAAGAAAAAAGGAAAAAAGGAGATGAACAGTGAACGTCACCCAAAATGGAGAATAAGAGATTATTCTTGTACTCTCTTTATTTAAGTTTTAGTCTTTAAAGTTTTACATTTGTTTTTACTAAATAAAAACTACTATTGCTTTATATTTGCTTTATATTTGATCAAATCCTACAAAATATTTAATATTAGTAAACATGCTTTCATCTAACATAAACTCAAAACTAACCAATCATAAAAATGGAAGTTTTGCATGTGTCACATAGTGTTGAATTTGTTTTCTAAGAGGATCACAAAAGATGTTTTCAATTGAGTTTATGGGGACTATGTTGTTAGTAGTAGAAAAGAAATCACAAAAAGATGGTTTTCAATTAAGTTTATGGGACTACTTTTTGTTAGTAGAAGTCATTCGTTATGGGTTAATACATGTTTGATGATAAGTAAAATTAGGAAGAGAGTTTCAAATCTGTATAGAAAACTTTTATTTTGCTTACTATTTGTTTGTGTTATAAAAAAAATTAGGGTTCCTATTATTAAATGGACTTTGAACAACTAATTTTTTCTATGACTAGAGGGTTTGACTATAATTTTATAATTAGAATATTTTTAATAATATTTTAGAAAATATGTATTGGTGATATGGAGATATTTTTAATAATATTTTTTAATAAAATTTCTTTTATCTCCATATCACCAATACATCATTTGCAATCAGATGAACTCTTATTTTTGTCATTTTTCATTCTTATCAGCTTTATATTTGCTAGTCACAACTATTTTCTTATCTTCCTCTTGTTTATAATTTCATTTTTTTTAAAAAAAATATGAGCCTATTAGCCTTATTTGGTTACACAGTTTGTTGTGGTATAGATAGTGTTCCAGATTATGGAACAAACTATAATACATCTTCTTGTAAAGAGAAGCAACCGATATCGAATATTATTCTTATAAACTAATACATTTTCTTTTACATTTGGTTTGTTAATCTTAACTAACATATTTCATTATTGTTAGTTTTGATTTTCCAACCAATTACTCTCTTTTACTCTTGGGCTTATTGGTGAGATAGCCAATTTTATAGACAAAATTAAGAATATAGCATATGATTTGACATTATTAGATCTCATAGCATTTTTTTCATTTTCTTCCAGTTCTCTCTTTTTTTTTTAAACCAGTTGGCAGTAATAACTTTCAAAAAGCATCTTCATTTAAATAAAAATATTATTAGAGTAGTGGTAGTTATGACATCCACGTTAACTGTGGTGATAGGATATAAATAGAATACACCATGCTAAACGGTATAGTTTATGTTAATTAAATTATAAAATTGTTTAAATATATTATATTACATATCCAAAATAAGTTAAATTGAACCTAATTGCAACTCAAATCTTTCAAAAACTTAATCCAAAACACTAATCACTAAATATTATCAAAATAGAATAGCAACAAACAAAATGACATAGTACATATTGTCTAAATTTTTAAGTATTTATGATTGCAGGGAATGAGGTAATGCTTACCCCAACATCAACCCAAACTTACCACAAACTAAACCCAAAACACTAATCACTAAACCCTAAAAAAAAATATAAACCCTAATCCAAATATCAAAATATGCGGATCCAAATAAAATAGTAACAACGAAATAACATAGTACATATTTTTTAAATAGAATAGTACAACCGACAACTTACAATATATACAAGTGGTGGTGGTGGTTACGGTGGAAGAAGAGGACACTGGTATCAAAAACTAAATCAAAACACTAATCACTAAACCTATAAAAAAATATAAACCCTATAAGAAAATATAAACCCTAACGCAAATATCGAAATATGCACATAATACATAATATTAAATATTATCAAAATAGAATAGTAACAAACGAAATAGTATAGTACATATAGTTTAAATTTTTAAATATTTATGATTGCAAGGAATGAGGTAATGTCTACCCAACATCAACCCAAACCTACCACAAACTAAACTTAAAACACTAATCACTAAACCCTAAAAAGAAATATAAACCCTAACCCAAATATCAAAATATACAAATCCAAAT